ATAGTCATAAAAATTTTAGATGGGTACAATGTTAGTATTCTTATAAAGAACCAATTTAAAAACATTTTGAATAAACACTGAAGAAGGATTTAAAGTTTCTTCTTCTATATGCTACATCCCTTCAGGATATAGACGATCATGGCTCTCCACGACTTTCTATCAAGCAGTTTTTCTCCCTGACCCAATTCTGTCATTCACACCAGCTCATTGCCTTCCCCTATCTCTCTTGCCCCATGAGGTTTTAAATTTCCAAGCCTTCCTTCTGCATTATGTATCTGAAGAATTTCAGCTGTCTTTTTTGATTTTGATTATCTGTTCTTTCTGTATTTTGTTAAAATATAAGGGAAATGCTAAGTTTAGTATTTGCAAATTTAAATGAGTATTATTTGAAATTGTTTAAAAAAAAAAAATTATAAATGTGATACTTACCCTCGCAGGGAAGTTCCCAACTAGCATCCAGTTGGCAGACAAAAAGAAAGTGGTCCGTAACTGAATACGGGGGTTTATTTTGTAATTATACAAAATTGTGACACAAGCCTGAAGGAGAGAAAAAGGGAGGGGTTGGTCTTCATTAGCTATACTAGTCCTAGTTAATCTGACTCATGACCCATTTATTCATTACAATTTACTCATTCACCACAGGAACTCCTCCATCTGCATATACCACAATACTGTATATTCACAGGGGACCTAGTAAACACCCCATGACATAAAAATTGATGAAAGTCCAAAATATTAGGTTGGTGCAAAAATAATGACGTAAAAATGTCGTTTTTGACGTTAAAAAATACGTCAAAAAACGACATTGTTACGTCATTTATTTTTGCATCAACCTAATATCTTCTTTTTTTTTTTTTTTTTAAATTACAAAAATATATAAAAAATTTATGATTCCTAAAATGATGGAAAGGGGATGAACCTAGAAAACAAATTAAAAATGTAACACAAAGATAAAAAAAAAAAAAAAACAAATATTAGGATTCCAAGTGGATGTTTTGTTTTTTTTTTAATTTCACCCCAAGCAAAGTGATAATACCAACAAGAAACAAGAGGTTACTGTGAGTGAAAGAGAATGAAAAGACATTAGTGAGGAGAAAGGACAATAAATAAACAGATTTCTAGAAGACAGAAGATGGCAGTTGATACTGAATTTAAATTTTTAAGTTAATAAGAAACCAGAAGATTGTAGTTATCAATGAAGTGAGTAAACAGAAGGGAGTTTCACAGGTGGGAAGTGCGAGAAAAGAAACTGTTGGGGTAGAAGTGGAAGTTACATTTAATTAATTCAACAGTTAAAGGGTGGAACCAAGACATCAATCTAGTAGCACGCTTAAACTCATATAGTTCGCACACCACGGAAAAAAGCTCGTCAGTACAGTTGCCATGAAAATATTTGTAGAAAAGACAGAGGGAAGCCATGTCACAAACATTTTTTTTTGATTGTAGTTGTGATGATAGAATTCGTGGACAGAATAATGTTTTTGATTCGTTGGGTTTGTCAGGTGGGACTGCTTTTTTATTTTGGAATATTTTATGAGCCTTTTGTTTCACATTGAATATGAAATTTTTATGGATTTAAAAGTATTTTTAATATATTTCTCCTCTTCATTTAAAAACTGAGGGCTTCAAATTCTGAGTGCTCTATGTAGAATCCAATGCTGATTTTGGATTGTACTTTGTTGTTATGATGGGAATAAAAAATATTAGCTTTATCAGTTGATTTTCAAAGGACACTGTTGTTCACTTGGGATAACATGATGTCTAGGAAAGTTATAGTATTGTTTTCTTGCATTTCATATGTAAATTCTATTGTCTGTTCAAATTTGTTTAGTTTATCTACAAGATTTAGTAAGTCAGTATCACAGGGGATATATTAATAGAGCATCATCAATATATAAGAAATAACTTGATTATTTAGGTAAGATATTTTGGAAAGGACCAGATTTGAGAAATTCCAAGAAAATACATGTCATCACTCCACTAAGAGGTGATCCCATTGGTAATCCAAATTTTTGTTTGTAAAAATTATCATTAAATGTGAAATAGCATTCATTGGTGAAAACAGTTTTTGCTTTTTTTTAATTATTTTAGCTTTTGGTAGAGAGAGGTATATCTTTGGTTGTGTTAGAGGTTTTTTTAAGAGATTTTTCAACCAGGACATTAATATAAAGTGATTATATGTCTAAACTAGCCATGAGTTTGTCAGTCATATTTGTTTCCCTTATTTTTTCAACAAGGTTCCCTGAATGTTTTTAACTTGATAGAGGAATTTATCCTATCAATTGCAAGGATTGCTAGAAAGAATATATTGAAGAAACTTCAAGAAGTTGAAATAAAAGATTACATTGAACACAAAAGAGACATTTTTATAAAAGACAACACACAAAATGAATTGGTTATTCATTGTAACGAAACTGACCACAATTTTGACATAACAAATTTAAAATTTACACTATTTAAAAGCAAAAATTTGACCAAGATGAAAATGTCTAGAAAGTGCTTTAATCATGATTTCATCTAGTTTCTTACAATCTTTCATAATTCTTGGTAGTGGGATATTTAATAACAAAGATGACAGAAAGAAAAAATATGTAGATGAATTTGGCTAGATTGCAAAAAAAAACAAAAAAAAACTCTTTCAAAAATTTTGAAACTACCAACATCTTTCATTCATGTGCATGTGTAGTTGCAACAATATAAACAAACCCAGTCCAAATGGATGAAATGCATCACAAAACTTTTCCAATTAATTATACATCTTTTGAAATTTATATATCATTATTCTCTCTCTCTCTCTCTCTCTATATATATATATATATAGATATAGAGAGAGAGAGAGAGATTTTATAATGAAATTCAAGGAATAAAAAGACAATAAAATGATAAAAATATTGTCGATATTATTTTTATGTTAGTAGAACTTTTGATGAAACTGTAGCATGAGGAGAAAGATTTTAAAGTCAGAATTTTTGGACATGCCTGTGTCCTTTATCAGCAAGATGAGAAATAAACAATGAATTGAGCTTCATTCTTCTGTGGAATTTTGTTGTTTTTTGTTTTGTTTTCCCATGTGTTGCATTAATGTATGAAATTTCTTACACTAATATAACACATGGAAAAGAAAAGCAACAAAACTCCCCCCAGAAAAATGAGTCCTACTTCAAGGGTTAACCATAATCATTCCCTCATAAAGAGTGTCACCCTCAACCTTGAGTGGTTCTTGAACAATATTGTTAAGGAGAAATGCAAAAATCTCTTTCCTAGTAATCTTTGTGAGAGTTTACATTTGCTTCTACATTATTATAGGCTTTAAAGCTGTGATTCCTCACATGGGACAATTTAAGAATGTTATTAACAGTGAATTTTTCTAGTTAGTGTGAGTATAAATGTGTGTATATGTAAGTGATATGTCTCGGAAAGGGATATATTTGAACAAAGTAGCTAAGTGGTTTTGGCTACTATAACCAAGTAGAATACGGTAGCAGTAATCAACTGGTACGTGTCGTAGTCACAGGTAATAAATGTAGATCAATGGCATAGTCCAGTGGGTGTCGTTATAGACTTAGCTCTCAGAATAAGACTCTTTGACTCTGTTGTACCTACAAGTCCGTCGGTATTTGTGACAGACACCAGCCAATCATATTCCACCGAGGGGGAACACAGGTGTATGCATATTCCATTATACCAGTAAGTCAATGTGTAGAGTGCATATACAGTATGTATACATAGAAATATTTTTGTGTATGTATGTATGTATGTATGTACATGTGCAATTATATATATATATATATATATATATATATATATATGACAGAAAAATGCTGTGCTTGAAAAGGATATGTAAAAACTGCTCAATGCACTGTTCAGAAAATTGAACTTGCAAACTAGGTTAAAATGAAATGGAAACATTTTATCTTTCCATGCTACCGAGGTTTCAACCAGTCGTTAGATAAAATTCCCTAATGACCTCATGAGACCTTATATTTGAAACCTAGACAGTATGGAAGTATTTCCATTTCATTTTATATAAATATTTATATTAGTAACACATATTTTTATAAATACTGCAAAATTCTGAACTTAAATTATAATGCTATTGCATATATAAAGTCTCAAGTTCTTAAGGTAAGTTAATGGCCTTTTAGGCTTCCTCCATATGAAAAGGAGTCCACTTTTTGAATAATAAGAATTATATGTCCCAAGCCAGGTGAGCCTCAGAATTTTAAAGATGCTTAGGTGGTGTATGACCAAAAAATGGTTGGGAACTGGTGCTTTATAGTCATGATTTGCATTGGTGCAAAGACCAATTTTAATTTCTTTTTCAACTCTCATCAGGTAAGGATTACAGCCAAAGCAAAGCTTAAATCAAATGGACTCAAACTGAATTTATTTTTCTTTGTTCAATCATTTGTACAAGTAACCCTCAAAGAATTCATGCAGAAGATTATGAGAACCCTAACCTTACCTGAGATGAAATAATTATTTTCTTTATTTCTATTAGTATTTTTTTTCACTCTGATTAAACATCGCCCTAATATTATGGTGGTACATACAGACAGCAATTTTCTTTTTCTCTTTATTTAAAAGTTCATCTCTGTCTTTCCCTCTTTCATATCGGATACTTTTCTGTCTTTTTCTCTTTGGATATGTCCTGGAAAGGTGTATATTTGATCGAAATAGCCAAGTGGTTTTGATGACTGTAACCAAGTAGTACATGGTAGCAGTAATCGACTGGTACTCGCCGTAGTCGCAGGTAATAGGTGTAGACCAATATGATAGCCAATGGCATAATTCAATGGGTGTCGTCATAGACTTAAACTTTGTCGTACCTACACGTCTGTCTGTATTTATGACGGACACCAGCCAATCATATTCCAGTGAGGGGAAACTCAGGTGTATGTATATTTCATTATATCACTCTTTCATTTTTTTGTTTAGTTTCATTTCTTTTTTTTTTTAATTCCTTCATTATTTTGTTTCTTCTTTATTCTCAGCTTATGATCATTTTAGGTTGAAACACTGGTTCTTGTACAATCAGCAAAGTTAAGTCATATTGAGCCTGATAAGTACTTAGATGGGTGACCGCTTGGGAATATCAGGTGCAGTAAGTTTGGGTATGTGGGTGGTGTAATGAATAACAGCTTGGAATTGGAGAGCAAATTTCTAATTCCATTCACGTTTGTTATATACACTTACATGCAAATTCTCTTGCAAAAGTTATGAATCTACCTCTTCTCCCCCAGCTATGGATTAAATAGTCTGATTTTTATTACTAAATTATCTTGCAATCTAAAAGTATTTTCTGATATTAAATAACCTGCAAGGGGTTGATAAGCCATAAAAAAACAAATGATTCTTTTTTCTCCTTTGTTACTCACCTTTCTTTTTCACTTCACCTCATATATTTTTCTTTTTATCTCTTACTTTTTTCTTTCTTCTTTATTATATTTTTATTTTTCCTTCATTGCTCTCATTACTTTTACTTTTGTTCTCATCTGCATTTATTTTACTTTCTTTTCTTTTTTACTTTTTCATTCCTTTTTTCCTTTATTTCTCGTTCACTACTTTTATTCCCTTTAATTTTTCACTTCTTCTTTTCTTCCAACATTTCCTTCATTTCTCTTTCTTTTTATCCTCTGACATTTTGTCATTTTACTTTTTCATTTTTTTGCCTTTTCATTTTTCACTTTTTCCTTGAGTGTTCTTCTTTATTCTCTTTACATCGAAAGCAAAACCTGTTTCGGTTTTAAATAATCAACAAAGTGTTGATAAGTCATAAAAAATCAATCAATAATTCTTTTTCTTTTTTACACATATTTTTTTTACTCTATGATTTATTCTTCTTTTCTCATTCTTTTTTTTTGTATTTCACTTTTTATGCATTCTTCATACCATTCCATTTTCATTTCTGTTTCCTTCATCTCTTTCTTAGATTTCTTTTTCTCTATTCTTCTTTTCATTTTTTTATTTTTTCCCTCCTTATTTTTCTTCTTTTCTCTTTTTACCTTCTTCTTTCCACTCTCATTACCTGCATATCGTACCTTCTTTATTTTTTTCTCTTATTTTCCTTTCTTATTTATTCGCTTTTCTATCATTTCATATAATTTCTTCTTTTCTTTTTCCATCTACAGTCCTTTTTATATTTGTCTTCTTTTCCTCAAATAATACCTTTTCATCCTCTCTTTCACCATATTCTTATTCTCCATAGTTTTGCCATTCTTTCAGATAATCTGTTATAACCACAACATCTATCAGAGAGATGAAATTTAAATTTTTATTATTGCATTATTCCAAAATCAGCAGATAGCTATTAATGTCAACAACTGAGCACAAATAGTTATTAATTTGGAACAAAAGAGAAAATCATTTACCTCGAAAAAGAGTTTGTGTTTTGTGCCAAAGGAAAATTAAAGAAAATAGTTAGCAAAAACCTGCTACTTTAAGTATCAGGGAAACTATGCTAATTTTTTTCCTCCCTGAAAGCCAATCAGAAAAATTGCTTGGTTGGTAAAGGCCATTGCTTACCGAGCAGAATGACTTTTGAGCTTGTTGAGTAAAAGTGTGTTTCTGCTGTTGTGAAGTGAAGGTTGGATTTTTGATTTAGTTTTCCTCTTAACAGTTCCCGCCTTTTAAAAACTTATTCACCCTTCTCTTGATGATTCTTGAAAGGACTGTTTGGGTATCAACTAAGAACGTCAGTAGAAACAAAATAATCCATGTGCCTCTGTAAAGTTCAGTTGTAAATCTGTTGTACACAGTCCAGCAGGCAACATTGTAATATGAATGGGGTCAGTAAAGAAGAAAATGGGATCAGAAATAAAAAAAAAATTAGTAATTAATGTATAATCTTATCAATAACTACATGTCCAAAAATGTCATTCTTTATAAAAATTTTTAAAAATGACTGTAAATACGTAAAAAATGCCTATGTTGACAAAAATTCCCTTTTCCATAATATAGCAATTTGTGTTATGTTATAATGCTTATTACGTAAACAATAATTATACTAAATAAATTATTTTTTAAACATTAAAGTATATTTTTCTCACTTGAGTCCATCCTTCAAATCTATAAATCAACCATTAATTCTTGCATAGAATACTGTTACCATAAATGGTCTGATGCCCTTGTTGTACTTCTTGAGGTCCTCTTCAAATTCCAGAGATGGATATGCAATGTTATGGGTTCTGATCTGGCATCTCACCTACAGTAACTTTCTCACAAATCTGCCATGGCTTCCTTCTGTCTTTTCTACAAGTATTTTCATGGCAACAGCTCTGATGAGCTACTTTCGCTGGTTCCCAGACAGCATGCATTTAAGCATACTACTATCTCAGTCCCACCCTTACACTAGCGAAACAATTAGATGTAGCCGTATCCTTTACTCCAACAGCTTCTTCTCTCACACTTCCCATCTGTGGAACTCCCTTCCTCTTACTTGCTTCCCTGATAGCTATAATCTTCAAATATTCAAATGTAATGTCAATCGACATCTTCTGATGACTTGATCTTGTTCCCCGTCCTTCTCTTTATCCTTTCCTCAAAGACGCTTCTTTACTCTTTGTCTTACCCTCTGTAACCCCTTATGTGCTAGGGGCACTCCCACCTTGCTTGGGGTGAAATGCTTTAAAAAAAAAAAAAAAAATAATCACATCTCCCTAATAGCTGTCATAGTAAATTTATTCACTTGCTCATTCAGAATTCTAATAGTAAATTTATTCACTTGCTCATTCAGAATTCTAATAGTAAATTTATTCACTTGCTCATTCAGAATTCTGATAACGCAAAGACATTGGAACAGCCTCAGCTATGTCAACAATGATGGGTATGTTTATCTGTAAGCATGAGTTACATGTCAATCTGTGACAAATACTTTTTAGCAGCAGATACACTAATGTTACCAACAAACAAGGAACCTTTTAACAAGAAAAAATTCACAGACAGCAATTCAAGTTCATCTCCATTAATGTAAATATCACTGCGAGTGAATCCCAGAGATTTCTTTCTTTTTCTATTTAGTCTTTTTTTATTTATTTGTTTCATTTTTTTGCAGGTGAGGGACTTGATTTCATCTGCTGTCCTTCATCTTACTGTTTCATATCTACTATCCTGTATTTTAAGATGGCTTAACCTATATTCCTCTGTGCTGTAGAACTAATCACAGTGGAGGCTTGTATTTGTACTAAAGTCAGTCCTAAAATAGGTTCGGCGTACAAAACGTTAGGAACTTGATATAATAGGTAATGACGCAGAGAAATCTAGTGGTGGTCGCTGATACTTTTAGTATTCAACTGACGGTCATCCGACATTGACTGACTGAGCCACTTACTCAAATACAAATACAAGCCTCCACTGTGAAATCACTCTACAACACTCCGGCAGAAGCTTAAACTGGCACCTTCTTCTTTACATATATATTTTGACCATTTTGTTTAAATTTCATATTGTTGGAACCTAGGGAAAGTTACTGAATAGAATAAACACACAAAAGATGGTAATGCATGATAATACTTAGGACACGAACAACACATATAAGATTCACCAGCGGCACATAGAAGTAATCAACTGCTAGAAGTGAGTCAAGTGAATTCTACAATGTATCTCCAACTACAGGCCATAGACCCACACATACAGTATTCACTGCTGTATTTATGGGAATGGGGGCATACCCGTTATCATCTATAGGTATGAATGATTTTAATGTAAAAGCACATTGAAAATCAAGTAAAAATGATTGTCAAAAGAGCCGTATCAAAATAACTGTTACTTTGTAGCAATTTTATTATAGCAAATACATTGCAATGCAGAAATATGTTATGATCAAATGTTACTTTTCTGTAAAATTTACAAAGACAAATATTTTGAACATTGTTATCATTGCAGTAACATTGTTTTCAAAGTTATAAAAACATATATATATAAAATAAAATAGGCTGGAAAAATACCATTCCCAAAACGGATATGAAAAAAGTGCTCAATGCACTGTCCAGAAAATTGAACATGCAAAGTAGGTTAAAATGAAATGGAAACACTTTACCCTTCCATACTACTTCGGGTTCATCAGGTCATTAGATAAAATTCCCTAATGACCTCCTGAGACCTTATATTTGAAACCTAGGTAGTATGGAAGGGTAAAGTGTTTCCATTTCACTTATATAAAGTAACACAATTTTTTATGAATTGATGCTAAATATACGTTCTGGAATTAGATTTATAACTAGTCAAGCTTTGTCAGATCAAGTCTTTCATATGGATGTCATACATGGCACCAACCTATTCAGAAAGGTCTAAAATCTCAGCTGTATACAACTGCTTCATAAGATCAGTGATGAAAAAGGCTTTGAGCAAGTGAAACCTGTGAGCCATGACAAAAATCATCCCTCTCTGAACATTGCAGACTGGCACTACAAATTCACAAAGAAAGAGATGTACCAAATAACAGATGCTACATCACTTCAGGACTACCAACAGCAGCAACAACTAAAATAGATAGGACATGTAACTCAGAGAGTAAACTATGATATAATCAAGATGTTAACTTTCTACACTCCTTCAAATAAAAGGTTAGAAAGGAAACTCATAATGGCAGTTGATGTACAAAACCATCTCAAGACCATCGTTGACTGGAGCAGAAGATGACTTGTCAATTTTAACACCTCCAAAACTAAACTTCTCTTCATCAATCATCTGAGAGACCCTTCTTTGCCTTCCATCAGCATGGCTGATGCTATCCTCCAAGAAAGTGACTTTTCGAGCTAATGTTCTCAGCTGACATGAGGTGGAAAGACTACATTGAATTCATCACTAGATCAGCTGCTAAGAAAGTTAGTTCACCATATTGGACAAGACAATTTTTATATCCAGAATCTATCTTGCATATCTATAAGTCTACCATTTGCCCCTGCTTAGAATATTGCTGCCATATATGCTCCAGTGCTTTTTCCCTAGAGCTCTTTGATAAGATCCAAAGAAGAATCGGCAATATTTATGGTCCTGATGTGGCAGCTTGGCTTCAGTCACTTTTACATCACTGTAAAGTTCCCTCTCTGTGCATTTTTTATAAATGCTTTCATGGTAATTATTTGGATAATCTCTTTGTTGTGGTAACTAGACGGTATGAATTTAAGCACAATGTTAGACTAGTGGCAAGATCTCATCAATTTACAGTTGAGCTAACTAGAGGTAGCTAGAAATTCTATGCTAACAGTTTCTTATCTCTCACTTCCTGTTTGTGAACTTCCTCCTGGATCCATGCTTTTGAGTCAACTTTAATCTGCAAAAATTTAAATCCAGTGCCAATCGCTATCTACTGTCCTCCTGATTACTCTTTTCTCTTTCTTCTTATTACTAATGTTTCTGTTCCTAAATCCTCCATGCCCTGTAACCCCTTGCATGCTAGTGGTTGTACTGCCTTGCTTGGGGCAATACTAATTTTTAAAAAAAGAAAAGAAAAATCAATACTAGAAAGAGTGATACAAGCTACTGAACTTGAGAAACCCGTTTACTTGAAAAGTTGTTTTAACATTTTCACTGATATCAGTAGTGGCTGGTCAGTCAATAAATGCTAAATGTTTCCTTGTAGAAAAACGGCTAATATTTACCCTTATCATTGTACAGCATTTGTTCCTATTAAGCAGACTGTACAGAATCCAGAATAGCATTCCAAATTCATCTTTGCAGGTAGATCCCCGTCTGTGAATGTAAACCTTTCTCTTCAGAATTCTTCACAAGATTTCAATAAGGTTAAGGCCGTACAAAGATTCTGGCTACTTTATCTAACAAATGTCTTTTTTTTAATCATTTCACCCCAAGGTAGGTGATAATGCCACTAGATACGCAATGGGTCTACTGGAAGTGAAAGAGAATGAAAAAGACTTCAGAATGCATCAGAGACCCAATCCTAAACAGGAAACAAGGGATAAACCACTATGCCTGTTCAAAAGACTGTGGAGGTGTGTAAACCAGACCAAAACAAATAGTAAATAAAGTTTCAGGGTTTAGGTGGATATATCAGAAGTATAGAGTTGAAGTAGACTTCAGAAGGTACTGGAAACCCAATCCTAAACAGGAAACAAGGGTATCTTTGGGCAGAGTGCACTCAGGGGTGGCTCATCAAGGGACAGAGTCGCAACAAAGGAAAATTGTACTGAGAGGTACTCAGCACTGGGGAACAGCTGCTTGAGGCTGCATCCTCTCATTGCACCAGATAGAGGGATCGGTGCTTGCACCCAGGCCAGCACAACCAACAGGGGCTGAGGACAATTTTTGTTCCTAGCCCGAGCGTACATGCTCGGGATCCCCACATTAAACTGACCTTGTGTTAACCTGACCTCATATTGGTGGGGGGGGTGAGTAAATACAAACAGGAAACAAGGGATAAACCTCTACTTCTGTTCAGATATACTTAGTTTTTTCACAGGATGTGATGGAGCATTGTTGTACATAAATTCATTGACTTCGTGAATGTGTTTGGTTTCTTCTTGAACAATAGCTATATGTGTGCCTTCAAAAAATGTATGCCTAAGCTTTCATTATACCACCACCTGAAACACATCCAAAGTCCTTCACTTCACCACTTATAACTCTAATCCAAAACATCATAACACGTCCAGCTTGTTGACGTCTCAACTTGTGAGGGCTATTTCCATTAGTACCTACTGAGACTTCTTTCATTTCGTTTGACCCATGGAGCAATACTCTATAAAAAAAAAATGCTCTGGAACAAGCTTGTTAACCACCATAACTCTAAATCAAAGATAAAAAACATCGTGATAATATAGAAATAAGGAATTTAAGGAGAAGATAAAGGAAAGCGAGAGAATGAGAAACACAAAATCTGGAAAAACAAAAAAGGAAGTTGAGAATGAATTCAAAAGATTCTTCTCTTTCTTACTTTTTGATAGTGAAAGGTAGGGTCAAAGAAGAGAGAGAAAGAGAAAAAAATGAAGTGAAAGAGAACAATTAAAGAAAGTGAAATAAAAGAGAGGGTGAGAAAAAGAATGAAAAAGGAAGGATAATGAAAGAAAAAAAGAATGAAAAAGGAAGGATAATGAGAGAAAAAGAATGAAAAAGGAACAATAATGAGAGAGAAAAAAGGTAATGAGAGAGGAAAAGAGCGGAAGGAGAGTGAGAGAGAGAAAAGTGGAGAGCAATTAAAGAAAGAGGAATGGGATAGAGAAAAAATAAAGAACGATAAAAGAATGAAATGGAAAAGAGCAATTAAAGGAAAAAATTGAAAAGAAAAAGAATGAAAAAGGAGAATGTGAAAGGAAGAAGAATGAGAGCGAGTGAAAAAGGAATGAGTGAGAGAAACAGTGAAAGAGAGCAATTAAAAAAAGAAATAGAAAACGGAAGAAAATGTGAAAGTGAAATTAAGGTAGAAGGAAAAGGAAAGAAAAAGAAATAGAAGAATATACATCTTGGTGAGAGAAGAAAAGAGGAAACCTAAAAAAAGAGAGAAATTGGAAAAGAAAAGAAGAAAAATAAGGAATACAAGAGAGATGAAACGAAAAAACTATGACATGGGAAAACAAATTGAAAGAATAGCGAAATTAAATAAAAGAAAATACAAACAGAGAGGAGAAAAAAGTAACAAAGAAAATGTATAGTGGAAAAAGGTGGAGAAAAATAAGTAAATGAATACAAAAGGAGTGGAAAATAAAAAAAGAAAGAAAGAGAATAGGTGAAAAGTGGAAAAAAGGAGTATAAAACGGAATTCATGATTTAAAAAAAAAAGAAAAAAAAAAAGTAGAGAGAACGCTGCCAAAGTGAGCAGAATTGAAAAAGGATAAATTTTAAGGTAGAGGAAATAATATTTGCCGTGGGAATACGAACCTCAGTTTTATTTATTTATCTATTTTTATTTATAAACTGGATTGTGGAGTAGAGGAAGCATAATCCATCCAGGTTTCCTGGATTTTTCTTTGTTTACCTTTTCCCCTTTCGTTTTACACCTATTCCAGTCCATCCCCCTTGTCACAAGAGGAAAAAGAATCATGTTTTCTTCGCAAATAAAACTCACTTTCCGATCCGAAAAATATTTGGCTTGCATGATGACGTATAATTTTATTATCACTAACCTAATGACACGCCGCAACTCAGCCTGGCTTTTGCCCATTAAGTCTTTCACTAGATCAAGCCATACGCCCACAACGCCGCCCGTCTTTCCCTGTTTCCTCAAGCTCTTGGAAAAACAAGAAAACAACGGCAAATTCATGTAATAGTAGTAAAGATGTTCAAGTTACCCGATGTTGTGTTTGTCTAAAATTCCCCAAACTCTCTGTCTTCAGCCGAAACATCATGCCCGGTTGATACGGCGCCACACTCCTTGTTGCTTTCAGTCAATTTTCATTAGTAAGGAGGCTAAAGTGTAATGGATTTGGGGAAATGTTCTACACATCTTGTGTTCTCTCATCTTACTTCACCACGGGGTTGGCAGGTGATCCCCGTTATCGGCCATGTCGAAAGGGGTCAGTGGGACCTGTTGAGACTTGCATCAAAGAGATTATGAGTGGTTTGTTAGAATTGATGAGAATTGGAAATTGTCATTTGGAAACGGAGAGGGGAGGAAATGGAAAGGATTCTTGAAAAAGAGAAATAATGCAAGCGAAAGCATCATGAAAAAGATTGAAAGGAAGGAAGGAAAGGGAATGATGACAGGACTGAAAGAATGAAGGAAAACGAACAAGGACAGGACTGAATGAAGGAAAAAAGGAAAGGACTGAAAGAAAGAATGAAGGAAAAGGAACAAGGAAAGGACTGAAAGAAAGAATGAAGGAAAAGGAACAAGGAAAGGACTGAAAGAAAGAATGAAGGAAAAGGAACAAGGAAAGGACTGAAAGAAAGAATGAAGGAACAAGGAAAGGACTGAAAGAAAGAATGAAGGAACAAGGAAAGGACTGAAAGAATGAAGGAACAAGGAAAGGACTGAAAGAATGAAGGGAAAGGAAAGGACTGAAAGAATGAAGGGAAAGGAAAGGACTGAAAGAATGAAGGAACAAGGACTGAAAGGACTGAAAAGGAATGACTGAAAGAATGAAGGAACAAAGGACTGGAAAGGACTGAAAGGACTGAAAGAATGAAGGGAAAGGAAAGGACTGAAAGAATGAAGGGAAAGGAAAGGACTGAAAGAATGAAGGAAAAGGAACAAGACTTTTTTTCATGTATTTTCTCTAGTCTGGTATAATGACACATTAATTGTGCACTGAGTGAGGAACGTATTCACAAAATTGTAAGATTAGCTTGTCACTCATCGGACAACAGTAGATAATCAAAGTTGAGATAATAGGAGACAAAATAGAGAAGAGATAAAATTTGAGGAAGGAAGAGAGGTCATCCGGTTCACACTCCTTCCTGCTTTTTTAATAGGAGTAGAGGTTTACTCCTTGTTTCCTGTTTAGGATTGGGTTTCCGGTTCTCCCTAAAATCTACTTCAATTCTATACCTTTAAACCCTCCACCTAAACTCTGAAATTTTATTCTTTATTTATTTATTACATTTACCTCAAGAGGAGTAAATGTGTTCATCTATCGTCCTGTTCACACTTCTCCCTAGTCTACTGAAGTGGAGTATAGCCTTATTTCTTGTTTAGGATTTGGTTTTCTGTTCCTTCTAAAATCTTTTAATTTTCTTTCACTGCCAGTCATCCCTTGTGTCTTAGTGGCATTTTGCCTCGCTTGGGGTGAATTGATTAAAAATTTAAATGAAAGGTAGAAGGGCATAATTTGAATTGACTGGTTCACTCGTAAAGAATAGGGAACATTTTTATCAGGAATAATTTTTGTCGGTTAGCATTCATTAGACCCTTGTCAAACAATGAAAAATATGGATTTTCTATCTATTTAGAAGCGGTATCCTGTTCATGATACCAACAGTGTAAAATCGAGCCCTGACATTTTACAGAGTTGGAGATCATTTAGTTGGTTGTTATTTGCAAATATAATGTTAACTGTGCTTGCATCATTGATATTTGCATATTTTTTTATTTTCAGAATTTTAAAAAACTTTCAAAAACTCGTTAAAATTTATAAAATCATTCTATTCAAAGAGTTTTTCAAGAAAAATAGGTTTTACAAGCCAAGTAGCTGTTATCACTCTTTCCCGTATTGATGGGAGTTTCCATCCTAACCTTTTATTTGAAGTAGCGTGGAAAGTCAACATCTTCATTGTGTCATTATTTTCTATTCTCAAGCCCAGTAGCTGTTATCACTCTTTCCAGTATTGATGGGAGTTTCCTTCCTAACCTTTAATTTGAAGTAGCGTGGTGTGTCAACATCTTCATTGCGTCATTTTTTTCTATTCTCAAGCCCAGTAGCTGTTATCACTCTTTCCCGTATTGATGGGAGTTTCCTTCCTAACCTTTTATTTGAATTAGTGTTCAACATCATTATCTGGATTATGTCGTCATTGTTTTTTGAGTTACATGTACTACTGTAATTTTCCATGTATAATACGCCTTCATCCTTAATACGCACCCCTAAAATTGTGCTGAAAGTGTGGGATAATGCTTCTACTCATGCCTAATATGCATCCCTTGTTTGGTAATCAAACCCTATAAATAGTACCTCTCCAATTTCAATACGACCAGAGTTTCCTAATCTTATTAAAAAAATGATGTTTTTAAATATAGAATAATATTATTTAAATTTCGCTTTATGATAATTTTTATTTTATGGCATATTTTAAAGATTTTTTGTAGCTGTGCATAATACGCACCCCTGATTTTGCTTATTATTTTTTAGAAAAAACTGCATATTATACATGGGGAATTACAATATTCATTTTAGCTGTTACTGCTGTTGAAAATCCTTAAGTTCTTTTTGATTTTTTAGTGACTGTCCACAATATTCAAAAGGGATGATCTTTGCCACAGACCTCAGTTTCACTTGCTCAAAAATCTTTTTAGCCATTGATCTTAGAAAGTGGCTGTATACAACTGACAGTTTAAGTATTTCTGAATGGGTTTGACACATATGAAAGTTTCCATCTGACGAAGCTACTTAAGAACATGACTTTGCAGTGTTGGGTGAAACTATCTCTAGTGCAGACTACTCTGTTTAATTTTTTTTCCCTCTATAATAAATTTGGTATAATTGATCCCTACACATAGATATTTTAAGTGTTTAGTATTTACTAATTCCACATGCTAAATTTTTATGAGGGATTCAGAGTATATGCCATTATTGCTTTCATTCCAACTCCAAATTATAGTTTCTGTTTCAGAAAGGTTTATTTTGAGTCCTATTTTTTTTTTTTTGGAACACTTGATCGAGAGGGCTGACTTTATGTTCAAGATTATTCTTTTCTCAACTACTAATACCTATGCCACCAATCTAGTACTGAGCTTAAACTTATAAAGGCTGAATTTTTATAATTGATCCAGTGTAGGTACCACCACTCCTTTCATTTCAATTCAAAATCATTGTTTCTGTTTTGGAAAGGTTTATTTAGTCCTATTTCTTAGACAGGCACCCGCTTTCTAAAATGCTAAAAAAAAAAAATCAATATTTTTCACTTCTGATAAAAAAGAAAACAATATTTTAAACAGTATTTTAAAACAGAAGATGGTGATTGATGTTGCATTTAAATTTTTGAAGATTATAGTTATCAGGAAAAAAAGTAAATGGAAGAGATTCCCACAGGTGGGAAGTGCGAGAAAAGAAACCCAGCGGTAAAAGGGTGGGACCTACAGTTGAAATTCACTAAATATTTAGATTTCAGCATTAAATAACCCATAAAAGTCCTTCGTTATAGAAACCTGTTGTGGTAAACCCATCTACAGTAGAATGAACTCTTCCTCCTCTCATAAATACTAACTGCGAGAGTTGGTTGGAGGAATTAGGTAGACGCAGTGCTAACCTGACGTTTGGACGTACACCGCTATCTACTTATTAATAACACTCTTGCTTTGTATATATCTTCAAAATACTTTCCCAACCTACCTTCGTCTTCCGTGTCTTTCTTTCTGGTCCCTAAACAGGCCACAACAAAACCCATCCTAGATATGCAGGTAATATGGTTTCAGAAAGTGGAATAGATGAATAGATGAATAGTTCCTGAATCATCTGTCGCATTCACTTTCTCACTACTGCCTTTAGAAAATTCATTTTTCTTCCTCTAGCTAAATGTCGAATAGCATAATATTCTCTAGCTTTGAACAGCAATCAGATTAAGAAAACCTCTTTGAATTCCAATCTGTAGAGAAGATAACAGGATCACACCATTCTCTTTCTCAAGAAGCCATATCACTTGACAGATAATAAGGAAAGGTAATCTGTAGAGAGCCATGATCGCCTACATCGTGAAGAGTTACATAACACGAATGCCTATAGACTTGGGCAGAAGCCAGCCTAAGAGAATGTTGAGATGTTGTGAGTTTCCCGCGTGTCGGTGTATGAATCAAGACAAACACAGTTGTAGAGGAAAATACTGGTATATTCATAAAAGCAATTAACAATAGAGTGATTAGTAGAACGAAGGTTGGTTAGTACGAAACAATATCCAAAGTCTATAGTCCAACGGTATGTACCGGGTAAAATCTGGACTTATCTGGACTGCTCACCCTGACTTTCTCCCCAGAGCTGACTTATATAAGAGGGACCAGTCCATTACTAGTTAGAAGTTGGGTGCGCCCCAACAGAGAATGACCAATCTGAGATGAAAAATGAGGATCATTGTCTAACAGTAAAGAAATAGGAATTATTGGAAATGACCAAACAGATTCATCCGCTATGTCTACCCAAAATGAAACCCTTGACAATAAATTCAAGATTCCTTATATGAACCAAAAATGTAAAATAAACAGTTACTCTCAACAGAAATGGCAAAATTGTTGGACCAGAGACATCTAATAAACTTCTCACAATCAAACCAATGTTCGATGTTTACAGAAAGAAGGAAAGACGAAGTAACACAAGCTCGACTGCACATAGGCCACACATCTGTGTCACCCATTCATACTGGCTGAAAAACGAAGATCAGCCAACATGTAAAACATGTCAAGCTGCACTTAGTTTTAGTTGTTTTTCTTTGTTTCCTGTACCTTTCTCCTCTGTTTTTGTTTTTCGTTTTCTTTATTTCAACTTGACGAGGATAAATCTCCACAACCGACTCCAAAAGCTGGGCTCATTGGAAGAAAGGTTTGTTATAGAATAATTAATTTCGACTTCTTAAAATAATGAAACACTAAACGCACATTTGTAAGTCCAGCAGCTGCAACGTGTCTATGAAAGTTTGGTCAAAAAGCGTTGTGTGCTCGCCAGTAGGAATAGTGTTGTTCTCTATCACAACACAAAGCCGCACACATCGAGAAGAACACACAAAAAATGTTGGTACTCAGTCTGTTCTATCAAGCCTCGCCATATTTATGTGGCTATGATCGTTTCGATGGGGGAAAACTTTCTGTATTGAAAATCATATTCAAGAGTTCGCCGAAGAACTTTTCACATCAAAACCAACGGAGTTTTACAGAAAAGAAATCGAAAAGCTACCTGATAAGTGGCAATATAGAATTGGGAATCATGATGGATATATAATTGAATAAAATACAATTGTACATGTTTTTTTCTCCCCAAAATAAAGTTGTTAAACAAGAACGGAAATCATGACTCAACCCAATACTTGTGACAACGAAGTTAGGGATTATATATTTACTCACGTGTGTCTTTTTGTCCACACAATATCTGCAAATGTCTTCAATAAATGTCTATGACATTTTCTGGAAATGACATTGGCAAAGGAACAATTGATTAAATTTTAGGGTGAATTCACGAATTCCTAGACTGAGAGATATATCGCACATTAAGACAATATTCCGAAATATATGGAAAAATTCGGAACTTACACACCTACTTCCCTTTATATCATATCTATTTATGAAAAGCTTTTTAATCAGTTCTCAATAACAATGGCGTTAGCAGAGGGATGCACTCTCCAAACGCTTTGTCGTCTATTTTTAAATTGTGATTCTGAACAATGCAAGAAACCAACCATCTAATTCCAAATTATAGCAAGAGAGAAAATATCCAACGTAGAATTCAAAGAGAAGGCGATTTAATTATTTTGAAATGACACAATAGTGGGGTCTATACATGGCAACTACAGACAGGGAAGGCCTTCTAATCTCTCTTTCGCTTTTCTTTCCTTCTTTTTCCTACTCCTCTCT